TATCTATTTGAAAAAAATTAAAAATAGAGGAAGAAGGGAGAAGAATTTTTCAAAATGTTACTGCCTAAATTTTCTTGGGATTACTTCTTACATCTTTGAGTCATGCAAAAGTGGTGTAGCTTTTCAAAAGTCCTTAAGTATTGCCAGACTTGCTTAAAGTGAGGTACTTTAGAATTAGGATCAGCTGAAGTATTACAAAACTTTGTGAAACATTAAACTAACAAACAAATAAAAACTCTCGCTGTGTCTACCCAGGATCAGTTTGACTTGATTGGATTTATAGAACATTTGAATTTAATAAATGACTGCTGTTTTATACATAATAGCAAATTAGTCCCTTAAACTAAAATTTTCACTTACTAACTTTTGATTAGTTGTAGTCAGTATATTAGCATAGAGAGAAAAGAATACAAAGAGACTTTAATTATATAATTTTTATCATTAATAATTGAATTAAAGACCAAATGAGAAAACATTTTTTGGTAATTTTGTTCATTTTCCAGGTTGGTAAATGAGAATTATTTAGGCTGGGGGGAAAACTTTTATTTTTGTTCTATTTTCATGTTTCTGCCTTTAGAAGATTGAAGAAATAAAATTTGGAAGTCTGATACAGAGACTTGTGTATCTGTGTGCACATGCATACATACACATATACCTGTGCTATTTTTTTACTTGTAAAAATCTTAATGTTTTAAGGAGTATGTTTGGAGATCTATCTTTACAGTTATTTTAGAGGACTTTATTAGCTTTGGATATATTTTTCTGAAATACTATACTGAAACTGCTATTAGTGATTTTAAAAATGCTGGTTTTCTAGGTAATGTTGGAATTTTCAAATATTGATGTAATTTTCTGCATCACTTTAATTTAAATCTGTGTGGTGGCCAACTGTGATATTGTGACTTGAGTAATTCAGCAGCATCTCTATGCTTTCTTCTTGCCTTTAGCTGGGCAGATGCTCAAACTCAAATCCAAAACATTGCTGCGTCTTTTGACCAGGAGGCAGCTGCCATTCTTATGGCCCGGCTGGCAATCTATAGAGCAGAAACAGAGGAAGGACCAGATGTGCTTAGATGGCTAGACAGACAGCTCATTCGATTGGTAAGAAGTAAACATTGCACTTTTCTCAATCTATATGCTTTTGTTTGTTGTAAGTATTTGTTGCTTTTGTTAAGTATCTCTTTCAACATACTTGAGAGTTTAACTGAAAGACTGTATGAGAGATTCCTATTCAAGTTGCTGAGAAAGGCATAGTAATGAATAGTAAGTACATTATCTCTTCCAGTAAACTAAAATACCTTTTCTCCTTAAAAGAAAGAGTTACACCTAAGTAACCTATTCTTTTTTTTTTTTCTTTCCTTTTTTGGGGGCTGGTATCACATTGTTCCAAATTTAATCCTAAATTGTAAATTTTTTTAGTTTGTTTTTTTTTTTTGCATATTTTTTCTTCATTGCCATGGTTTTAGTATTTAAGGGGAGTTAATTGTGATATAAAAATTATATGCATTAACATACAAAAATATAGGTAAGTCTTGATTATCTGGATCTATTAGCAAAATGTGTGTTAGTAAAATTATTGATAATGCTGATATACTTGGGTTTATAATATAGCAGGAACCCAGTACTTATATTTTGACCCACAATGCTTAGTTAAGTTCTATTCTTTTTTTTTTTTTTAGATTTATTTATTTATTTGATAGAGAGCACAAGCAGGGGAGGTGGGAGAGGGAGAAGCAGGCTTCCCGCTGAGCAGGGAGCCCGATGCGGGGCTTGATCCCAGGACCTTGGGATCATGACCTGAGCCGAAAGTAGATGCTTAACGGATTGAGCCACCCAAGCGCTCCTGATGATAAAGTTCTTAGCTACTTTTATTATTATGTATTTTTTTCAGGTTTTTATTAGTCATTTAATTCATTTACCAAACCTTTATTCATTGTCTCATTTGTGGATTAGGTACTTTTAGGGCAGGCTATGGAATGCAAAGGACTTTAACATACTTGGTCTGCTATATGATGTGGAATAGACCAGTCCTCAAAGGTCTGTAGTGAAGGGACAGTTGTTTTTTTCCTTCCAATTTTTTGGAGACTAATACTTTTATTAAATATGATAAAAATGAATTACTAGAAACTTAAAAAATTCAAAATACAAGTCCCTATTTTTATCATTAGATTTATTAGACAAAAAATTATTTTGTTAAATCGCTTAAAAATTTCTAAACATTTATTCTCAGTTTCTCTTCTTACCTCATGGCGAACTGGCACTGGGTTTGCATACCACACTTTGCATAGCACTGGCTGAGACCACAAAAGGTGAAAGTCTCTTAACAGTTAATATTATAAGGTATCATTTTATGTAACAAAGTCATGTCCTACATTTCTTGAGGTAGTTTCAGTTTCCACAAGGGAGTAATAGGGCATACCAGATGCCCTTTCTTATTCGTATCTATATGACATATTTCCTGAATAAGGCAAAAGAGAGAGTTGATTAGTATAAACTTACCTGATTTAAGCATGGGCTAGAAAATGGACACAGAAGGCATCGGAGCTCTCATTTTATTGAACTGTATTTAAACTTCATTCCTGAAAACCATGAGGTTGTTTTGGTGAGTGATAGACATTAGCCTTATGCTTGAACTGAGTATTGGCTGGGTGGTCTATTGCTTAGCAAAGGATTGTACATAGATTTACTGTCCTGCTCTATTACCTTGCGTTGACTTAAAATCCTGGACCAATGTCAAGGGAATACATTACTCATTTGAACTAAAAATGCCAACCGACTGAGCGTTCACCTGGATTTGTTCATATTTCAGATCAGGAACTTGGACATTTTGATTCTTGGCAAACATGTCAGTTTATTTATGCCCCCTCAACACTCACACATTCACACGTGCATGCGTGAGCACATGCATGCGTGAGCACATGCATGTGCAACTTAAATTGGACATTCAAAACATTTACTTACAGAAACTACTGGACATACCAAGTTGAGGGATATTTTATAAAACTACTGACTTAGACTTGTCAAAAATGTCTTGGAAGTCAAGCAAAGCATTAGTAACCAGTCCAGATTAAAGGAGACTGAAGAAATGTTATGACTAAAGCCAATATGTGATTCTGGGTTAAATCCTGTGTCAGGAGAAATTTTGCTATAGAGGACGCTATGGAGACAATTGGAGAAATTTGAATATGATTTATATATAGGATAATGTTATATCAATGTTTAATTTCATGAATTTGATAATTAAGGCTATATAAGAATATAAGATAATTTTCTTGTTCTTAAGAGATATACATTGAAGTTTTCAAGGGAGAGGGTCATAATATCTCTAACTTAAGAAGTTTGGCAAAGGAAAAAGTACGTTTGTGTATGAAAGAAGTGAGAATGATAAAGCAAATGTGTTAAAATGCCAACAACTGATAAATCTAGATGATGGATATATAGGAGTTTATTCTAGTCATAGCTTTTTTTTTTTTTTTTTAAGATTCATTTGTTTATTTGAGAGAAAGAGACAGAATGAGCAGGAGGGGCAGAGGGAGAGGGAGACTCTCAAGCAGACTCTGCACTGAGTGTGGAGCTGGATGCAGGGCTCCATCTCACAATCCTGAGATCATGACCTGAGCCGAAACCAAGAGTTAAGATGCTTAACCAACCTCCCAGGCACCCCTCCAGTCATAGCTTTTATGTTTAAAATAACATTTTTGGGGGGGGTGCCTGGGTGGCTCATTTGTTGGGTGTCTGCCTTCGGTTCAGGTCGTGATCCCGGGGTCCTGGGATCGAGCCCCGCATCGGGCTCCCTGCTCC